TTGTACCGACTGCTCGTGCTGGATGAGCGATTTAGGTCGTTCGACTTCATGCTCTCGCCGACAAACATCATGGCGAGCTCTCTCAATCTCCCATCTCGTGTGACGCTGGATATCTCAGGTAATGATCTTGGCTCTCTCGCTACATTGGCTTTGCGGATGCTGCTCGCTGATTCTATTTCGACAAGTTTCTCGCACCGGATCAAGGTAGTGTAGGAACTTTATGCCCCAGGGGGTCGCTTTCCCAACGCGAGGCTTGCTCAATGCACCAGGAGGACGCCCACACAAACATCGCGCCGGAGGCACCATGCCGATTCTCCCGTTTGGAGACCTCACGCCAGAGGCGCCTCATCGATTCTCCTGCTGGGGGGCACTCGGCCCAGCCTTCGCGACAGAGATGCTGTACTGAGACCGCTGCTAGAGGCATGGCGAGAGACAGCCTATCTTCGGCCCGCACCGGGCCGCTCTTCTTGACCTCCACAAACTCTGATTTTTCTTCCGTTCGTGACGCGGCTGCCCCCCAGTGTATGGGGACAGTGGAGAGATCCAGGGCTGTGCAGGCTGCAACCCATGTCACTTCTGCGGCGGGCTTGCCTAAGGTGATGAGCATTTTCTCCGAGTCAGAGCCCATATTCGTGCCTCCTCGCCCGTCCGCTCCTTCGACCCGTCAACTTACCGGGTGGCAGCTGACCGCTTTGGAACTCATATGCTTGCTGGACGCGGTAAGTCTCTTCTCGGTAATTCTTCCCTTTTCATTTCCTGGTGGTTACCTTACCTGTTTCTTCGCTTTTGGCAGATTCAACGCTCCCTCGACAGATTGGAGCATGAACTCCACGCGGCAGAGCACCGTGAACGTGGCCTCGCGGATAGGGCTAGCGAGCTCCAAGCCAAACTGCTTATGACCCGGGACCAACTTGCAGAGGCACAGACTTCCGCTTGGGGTAAAGATCTGAGTGCGGAGGTGATGCTCTTGACGACGGCGTTGACCGATAGTCAACAGGACTTGGAGATCCGCAATTTCGAGGTGCGAATGCTCTGCGAGATGCTGGCGGTGTACCAGGGGTTTACTCTGGGGGCTGAGACGGACCTTGCGTTGATGGCAGCCAAAACTTTCGCGAACAGCCAAACAATGATCTGCTTGCTCAGGCGGGAGCTCGAAGAGGAGCGTAGGTGGAATGGATCACGGGGATGGATGCTTCAGGGGCAGCAAGAGACGCTGGAGGCGCGAACCCTTCTTCACCGGCAGGGTCTTCACGTCTGTTGGATTTTTAAATTAAAAAATTTTTTTTTGGAGAATTCTATCCCTTGTAAAATATAACTTCGTACTTTCAGATTGGTGGTCGCTTTTGGCCTTTTCTTTTTTAATGCACTTCACGTCTTTTCTCGTACATCTTCCTTTTTATGCACTCTTTTCATACTTTTTGCTTCGTTTCATGAACCTGATCTCTTAACTTCGTGATCAATACGCGTGATGGTCTCGGGGTCTCGAGTCTTGTTGAGTAGAGTCATGGTTCATGGGCCTTCTACACCTTTCGTACAGTCAAGCCGTGTGGATTGTTTCCTTCGTGGAACGCTCGCCAGTAATCCCCCCTCCTTCTAGCGCCAACTGTTCGAGAGTAAATTTTGAGATGCCACGTGGGAGTGTGTTATTCGTTCGAAAAATGGAGCTGCGCTTCTGAGTTTCATCTTCTAGGGGAAAGACGGCGAGACGTTCCAGAGTGGAAGCTGGTTCTGGTTCCGTCAGCGGGATGGTAGACGAGTCCGGCCCTGCAAACACTACACAAAAGGTCAATCGGGCCTCCGAGAACACCAAAAAGGGGTTTTCCTCTTGAAGGTTCTCCGACCCCCAAGTCAATAAACGCCGTACCGGGAACAAGTACTTAGGAAGGTGTTTCTCTACAGGTTTGGGGTAAGAAGTCTCGTCCGGAGATCGAAACTTCTATCTGTTTACAAGTGTTTCGAGGGGATTCTATATTGAAAAGAGAAGGTTGAGCTTTGTCTTATGGGAATGGAGAGGTTTCCTCTCGATCAAGCTGTTCGGCGGTGCAAGTCGGTTTGAGGCAGTTGGGCTCCTCCTCCTCAGAACGAGTTCTGAAGGCCTCTTCTCGTCTTCTCTCCATCCGTCTGTCGGTTGGTCCGTCCCCCCTCAGTTGTGTGGGAGGGCACTATCCTTTTATACAAGTCTTACTCTGCCCTATCTTCTCCATTCGGCGTGCCAGAGGAGCATGTGCGCTAATGATTCATACGTGTTCGGGGAAGCTTGCCAACTGCCCGGGAGCATTGCATGGAAGTTGTTCGGCTGAGCTAGCACGGCTTGTGTCAGTGTCTAGGGCAGTTTGATGTCCACGTGTCGTGCTGCCCTTGGGGTGGTAAATTGGTCCCAACAGTTGCCCACGACTTCTCGACTGATTGGAAAATGAGTCGGGGAGTCGACTTCCATTGGGTTTCATGGACGACAAACATGGGTTATCCGGTTCCCTAAATATTCTGCCATCAGAGGCTATGTTGGCGCGACGACATATCCGCGTACCTTAGGGGGGTACAGTACCAGTCTAGGCGAAGCTAAGTTCTTAAGGCCGATATTTAATATAGTGACTCATCCAAGCCGTGCCACGTATTCTGGTGGAGTACAGTACTGGCTAGAAGGTCCAGACTTCCAGGGAAGTGAGAAAAGACATAGACTTCGACCTTGCCACGCATCGCGAAGGAACAAGGTTTTAGTCGGAGGAGCGAACGAAAGAAGGATTTCAACTCCGGCTTTATTCGTATGTCCCGGGGGAGCACTTTATTTGTCGAAGAAATTGCACTTCTGAAGAAGCGAACCACGGAGCGGCTTAACAGATGTCAACCCCGGCCTAATTAGTATCCAGGAGAGTACATTATTAGCCGAAGGAATTACACTTTCGAGAGAAGCGAACCATGAGACGGTACTAGGTATATAGTTAGAGACTCGCCCGTCTTTGTCACGCATCCAGAAGAGTACGCAGTCGGCTGGGGGAGTTAGGTGATTGGGTCCTACCCTGACTAGGGTACGGATCTAGGGGAGTACTATATTGGGTCCTACCCTGACTGGGGTATGCATCCGGGGGAGTATGATACTTGCTCATGATATGAGGATATTGGCGCTCCCGGAGGAACTGATAGCTTGGCCACTGGTGGACATCTCTCCGGGAGGATTTTACTTTTTGTTTCGTGAGGCACTAGACAAGAAGCCGTCTTGCCCCCTCTCATCGGGGTCATGAGAGAGGTTATAGTTCGATGTGACCTTGGGGATCGACATAAGATAATGACGTGGGCTAAGACACCGGCCCAAGGGCCAGAGGTGGCGCCGTTGAACGGATGAATAGATGTTCTCTGCGTTGCGGGGCGCCAACGTAAGGGGAAGTTGCTACTCGAATGCAGCTGGTGCAGAGTAGGGCATTTCCCGATAGCGTTACCCTGACTCCCTTACTGCATGGACAGTCTTTGCATTGTGCTTACGCGAAAGTTTCTGGGTTTTAAGAACGTGCTTGTGACATACTCCAGAGGGAAGAGGTCGGAGAAATTAGCAAGAAAAGAAAGCCTGCGAGTTGGCGACCTCAATTCTCGTGGTGCTTGAGTGGCAAGCGTGTCTTTGGGGGAGCACACTGTTTGTCGCACGGCCCGCTGGAGGGGATTGGTGAGAAAGACGTGGAGGTCTGCGAGGCCGGAGCCTTGGACTCCCGGAGGAGGGGTGCCCTGGAGGGCGAGCATGTCCGCGGGGGAGCATGCTTAAGATGTGCGCTGTCCTCGGAGGGAGCGGTCGCAGAGAGGGCCGCAAGGTGCTGCTGGACCGGAGTCCCGAATTCCCGTAGGAATGATGCCCAGGAGGACAAGCAAATCCGCAGTGGAGCATGCTAAGAAAGAGGTTTTGAAGAAAAGTGGACTAACGGATAGGTATCAAAGACGTGTATAAGAGAAATAGCTATGTAAGCAAGACATCATTTGATCATGGAATCGCACAATCAAACAAGAAATCACATAATCATGCGAACAAAATAAATATTAAAAAGGTAAACATAATAGTAATAGAAATATTTAATTTTGAATAAGAAATAAAGAGAGTGGATGAGATTGATGATGAATTTATGTTGTTGATATCACTAAAAATAAACGGTATTAAAAATGACAATTGAATAAATATATTCAGTAAAAAGATATATGTACATAACAGCGATGTATAAGTATAAAAATGAATTTTTTTTAACCAATTAACATATCACAATTTATATTAAAAAATCATAATAGGTTCAAATATTTTAGGATGAAAAAAACTAAAGTAATATTTAAAATTAAAAAAAAGAATAAAAAGTGTTAAAAAAGCAAACATAATAATAATAAAATAATATATGAAATTATAAAATAAAAACATTAGAATAAGAATTTTTTTTTTGACATCAGTGGAATAACAAATTACTGTAAAAATTCTCTTTAGATATAAATTCAGAATATTATTTGAATAAAAAAAGTTAATTAACGAAATTGGTGGTAAATTCACTTAGATTTATAAAATTCTCACTCTAAAATTTACAATTAATAATGAGATTAATAATATAGACATATAAAATTCTGAAATTAAAAATTAATATATATAATTAGATAAATAAATATAATTTTAAAAAATATTATAATCAATTCATCAATGTTATAAGATAAATAAAAATATAAGAAGTAAAATCATTAAAATAAAACATATTAATATAGGAATATAAGATCCTCAAAATTGAGAATTATTCAATGAAATTTAATTGGAAACAAATAAATAAAATGAATAAAAATTTTATGAATATTTCAGTTTTAATTTTTATGAATTTTAAAATAATTTATAATAAATCTGCGCAATCAAAGTATTAGCAAAACAAATAACCAGACTCAACCCGGAACATCAATCCTCAAAGTTAAATAAATTGAAGTTATTGAACTAAAAAAAAAAATCACTGAATGGGGACAAACAAAACCCATTAGTGAAACAGTATTGAAAAGATTCACCTTTTCAAGAATTGTGCACACGGAACATGAACATGCTTCGAACTTCGCTGCAACATCTCGGCTCCTTCATTAGCAAACTTCTTTTTATCTTCGTCCACCCCATACGGCAGGTAAAGCTCAACTCTTTCCAACACAGTCCCGTACCGAATCAGATACTTCAACACATTTAAATCGTTCCGGCCACGAACAAAGTTCCTAACCACAACGACTTTAAGTGTCTTCATCAGACAAATACATGTCATGTTTTGCATCCAATATGTTTTGTGATCGATGCCAGGATATGTCGGATCCGTCTGAAAAGTATAAAAATCATTGTCGTGTGGTAAATGTATAATTCATTTTTGAGGTATATAAATATACATTTAAAAAAAAAAAAAAAAAACTTACCGAGAAGGAGGTTGGAGGAAGCATATCTAACGTGAGTGTTTCCAAGTCCGGGCAATTGCTGAGAAGGATCATAATACCATTGAACTCTTTCGGATGCAACCTTGTTTTCAGCACTAAATGTTGTGTCGTCAACGGCTGCAGCAAATGCATCTGATAAATCGGTTGTTGAATCACCTGTCCATAAGAAAAAGAAACACGTTACTATCAAAGCTACATTCTAACATTCTATATACATTACATATACCCCAATTCAACGTACTATTAGGGCATTTCTCGATATTCATTAGGTCACACTATTTGTAACATACCCGCGAATAAATCCTCTTAAAAAATGAAACATATATTGTCTCCTAGTGGAAAGATTTTGTTCAGATCGCAATGAATGTCAAACTCAATCTAATACTTTCAAATTACTAATAGTTGTTAATCTGTTTATACGAAATCTACATCTTTGATATACTGTACTTTCTCTTAAACTAAGCAGCAGTTATTACCACCACATTGTCAAGAATTCAAAAATTTCCAAGAACCATTTAAAAGATCTTAAAATAATTAAGCTAATGTCTTAAACTAGGCAACAATTACCAACACCACATCGTCAAGAATTCAAAAATTTACAAGAACCTTTTTTTGACATATTTCCAAGAACCATTTAAAAGAACTTATAATGAGTGAGCTAATATGAAAGTATAATATGTATATATATATACCCGAAGGAGGTAAGGGCAGACCGTTAAGGTCATAGCAGATCGAAGACCATAAAGGTGATCACAAAGCGTGTTTGGGTCGTTGGGATCCTCGTACTCCTTTATTAACATCTGAAAATCCAAGTGAACTTCTTTTATGATCGTATTCATTCTGTTAAACCGAAGGTAGATGATATCTCCCGAGTACTTGAAGATGTCTACTCTCGGCAGGTCAAAGGACAAAGAAACATCAGGGAATTTACAGTTCTGAATCGAAACCTCTCTCAGATTCCCTTCCATCCCCACGATATCGAGCTCCCAACAATTATTTATGTTTAGACTCACAAGCCTATAAGCCTTTGATAGCAAATACTCGACATCCAACAATCTCATCCAGCCGAAAGAGAGGGACTTGAATATCCCCGGGTCTGCGAATCTCTTGGTGTCAAACCCCCTGCACCCGCTAACCGTCAACGACTCTAGACTGGTTAGATTGTAAACGCTTTCAGGCACTACGACAAAAACCTCGTGATCTGGTACACTGGGAGAGATTCTCCAAGTAGGGCTTGAGAAATCAAGAACCAGCTTCTTGACTTGTTTCCTGACGGCGAACGCGATCAGGGCCTCGACCTGTGCCAAGTAAGCCCTCGGAGATGAGAGACAAAGCTCGAAGCTTTCGACGACTCGATTTTGGACTCTACCGACCCATTGAAACACGAAATCAACAAAGCGCTGCCTAGCATCGATTCTATCAGGATCTTGGAGAGAAGGGCTCACGAAATCGGATTCCTTAAAACCAAGGTTTGTTGTCTCACGATACTGATACCTCCACCGCTTGGACAGAACACTTGTACGAACACATTCCTTGAAAGGCAAGCATGAGACTATCTGAACAAGAAGTTCGTCCGGAAGGTTCGATATCATGTCTGGCTGGGCACTCATGGATACGGTTGTGAGAGAAATGTGAAGAATTTCGAAAGAAGAGATCAGATGTGTCTGCGGATATGATCTGATGGCTTAGACGCCACATAAAATGTTTCTCTTCAATACATAAGATACTTGGCCTGTTGGGTTTTTGTAAAACCTAATCAACAGAGAGGAGCGTATTATGGTTAACCTTCCATATAAGTGGTATACCTCATATAGAGACTTAGAGTCATCATATAGACACTTTTTCTCTAAAAGGAAGATGACTCATTCACTTTTGAACTTATCTCTTACTTCCCAACGATAACACTGGACAGAGAGGAAATCTGGAAAAAAATGATCTATCAACTATATTATTTATAAAAAAAACAAATTCTTATAAAAATGTAAATTAGATTTATAAATTTAACTTATACACCTTTATTGTTATTATATAACACATAGAAATTATTTTCAAAAAAATCAAGAAATTTGTATTAAAATTATCCAATCTGTTATATGTTTTCTAACGCGATTTTATAATTGGTAATCATCTATCTTAGAAAATGTTAATTTTCTAAATGCTATTGTTCTCATACGTTTTAGTCAAATTTAAAAATTATAAAATTTTATCATAGTAAATATATTATTATATTTTTTAATTATTGTGATGTAATTGATAAGAATAATAATGTGGTTACCGTAGGAATTCAAAAGTATTAGTTATGAGATTTATTTGTTTTTTTTATTTGTACTAATTATATGTAGATATAATATTATAACTGTTGGGTTAATTTTTATCCCGACCAATCATATATTGACAATAGATTCTAGGGATTTTTGCAAAAATAACCTAAAATTTGATTTTAATTGCAAATTTAACCCACAAAAATTACTTTTCTAACATTTACCATTTTGTGTCCAAACAATCCTTTATAGTTTCAGTTATTCACGAAATTGCCACTATTTTTAATTAATTTCTTTTATTTTTGGAAATCCAGATGACCAACTAATCCTCGTATTTCTCACTTATTTACGAAAATGTCATCTTCATTAATTCACCCAACCACAATTTTCAACCAATTTTGAAGCTTTAATGGTGGCAAAAACTCATTTTTGAGTTTGTTGAGCTCATTATTTTCCCTTTAAGCTTCTATTCTTCCATTTTCTCTCTATTTTCTTCCCAAAAACTCTATAATTTGTCTATTAAAAAGTTGAAGTTCATAAAGATTTCTATATTCCGGCGAGTTGGTTGTTTTTTCCGGTTGTGCTTCTTTCATTGTGGTTAGGATCGAAGATCTTGACCAGAAAAGAAGCTAAAGACGAGTGGTAAGACGGATTTTTCAGTCAATTTTAGTGTTTTTCAGTTTTGGGCTCCGAAAGTAGACTTTTCTCGGTCCGAATGAAGTCTACTAGTCAACGCTCAGGTTAGTTTTGCAATTGACAGCATGAAAAAGTAGACTTCTTTTGGTCCGAATGAAGTCTACTCCATGTCCTTTGATAACAAAAAAAATGGAGTAGACTTCTCGAGTAGACTTCTTTAGAAGCAGGTCATTTTTGCAATTGACCAACCTTTGACTTTGTAGAGTAAACTTCTCTATGCAAAGTAGACTTCTCCGAGAAGTCTACTAATATTTTGGCAATTGCAAAACTAACCTGCGAGAAGTCTACTTTTCTTATTTTTTTTAAAAACATCATTTTTATACAATATATAACGAATTTTTAAGATTTTTGTGATCCTAAGCTTCTGTTATTAAGTTTTCTTGCTTATGTATAAGTTTTGCATGTTTATATTTTATAGGTATAGTCGAATGAGTTTTCATGTTTTATATGATACTTAGCTTATTAAGAGTAGACTTCTTAGTCTACTCTAGAAGTCTACTAAGTAGACTTCATCCGACTTTCAGAGAAGTCTACTTATGCAATTTTGATGTCTAATATAGTTTGGATTTTGTTCTTTTTTCACAGAGAATGGTTCACATACCCGCTGTTTATGGAGAATGGGTTAAGAGTGAATCAGTGTGGCAGTTCGAGGTGGATAATAGCAAAGGAGGGCGAATGTTGTTCTTAAGAGATGGTTGCACACATGGTGAGCTTCTTGGAATGATGCAAGAGGATTATATGCTGGAAAAGGTAACAAAGGTGGAGTTATCCTATCCCTTACCACCTCTGATGCTTCAACAAATGCCTCCTGATTCTCCGCCAATTTATGTCACAAATGATAGACATGTTCAGAGCTTGATTGAGTTAAGTAAGATGCATGGTTTTCGCCTTTGTATTTCGAGTAGGATAGTGGACCATGAGAATGATGATGTGGATGGACATGCGGATACGTGCTCTGATGCTGAAGAAGATTGGGATGAAGACGCTGATGATTGGGATGAAAACGTTAAAAATGAGGATGAAGCTGATAGTTTGAATGAAGATGAAGTTGATCAGAATATGAAAGAAAAGTATGATGACTCAGATGTGGATTACAGTGAGACGGGAAAGTTAAAGATGATGATGAAGTTGAGGGTGTAAGAGAGCGTTGTGGTGGTTTTGGTTGACTGGATAGTAGTTGGTCGTCTAAAATCTTTGTTAATCAGAGTTTTCCTAGCAAGGAGAAGCTTGTATCTGAGTTGTGATTGATGGCAGTTATGAAGATATTTGCTTTCAAAGTATATAAGTCTACGACGTCTTTGTTTGTAGCAAAATGTTCTGTCAAAGGATGTGTTTGGATGGTTAGAGTAGGTGTGAAGAACGAAGCAAACACATTCTGGGTGACAAAGTATCTGAAGGATCATACCTGTTCTGTGTTAAACCGATCAGCTCATCGTAGACATTGTACACCTAAGTACATTGGGGCTCTGTTTGTGGAACGAGTTGGCATAATCGATGGAATTGTGCCAAAGCATATCAGAGATTCTATGAAGGTGATCTTTGGTCTAAACCTCAGTTACACCACATCTTATAGAGCTTTGATATATACCCAACAATTGGTGAGAGGAACAACAGAAGATGGATATGAGAAGCTGCCTTCTTATTTGTGTCAAATTGAGAGAGCTAATCCGGGAAGTGTCACAGACCTTTTATGCGGTGAGATGGATCGATTTAAGTACCTGTTTATTTCATTTGGAGATTCCATAGCTGGTTTTCAGTACTTGAGGCGAGTGATTGTTGTAGATGGAACTCATCTAACTGGGAAGTATGGAGGTGTTTTGCTAGTGGCAGCCGCACAGGACGGTAACTTTCAGATATTTCCTTTGACTTTTGGAGTTGTGGATTCTGAGTGTAATGATTCATGGAATTGGTTTTTCACCAAATTAAGTAGATGTTTTTTCAGATGGGTATCCACTTGTCCTAGTTTCTGACCAGCACGACTCCATCGCTGATGCATGTAAGAATGTCATACCATGGGCAACACGAGGTATATGTTACTATCATCTGCAACAAAACATTGTGACAAAGTTTCACGGGAAGCAACTATGTACTTGGTGAAAGGTGCTGCATATGCACATACGACTTACGATTATAATCGATACATGGACACAATCTGAGAGGTAAACCCCAGACTTGCTCAATATTTGGAGACTGCGGACCCGAGGTTGTGGTCACGAGTTCATTTCCCGGGAGACAGGTACAACATAAAGACTAGCAACATCACATAATCGATCAATGCGGCTGTTAAGGAAGCCAAAGGGTTTCCCATCACATTTCTGTTAGAGTTTATAAGAACAAAGCTCGGGAGATGGTATCATAAAAGGCGTGAAGATGCTCTAAATCTCACAACGAGCCATACCCATGGAGTAGAGTATCTATTGGCAATTCGGGAACATGAGGCAGGAGATTTGAAGGTAGAACCCATAGATGGCTGGCATTTCTTTGTTAAAGGTGGAGCACGAGATTATATTGTTGATTTAGAACAAAGGAAGTGTTCTTGTGGTGTGTATGATGTTGAAAAAATCCCTTGCTCACATGTTATTGCAGCAGCAGAAGAGGCCAACGTGAAACTATCAACACTTGTGTGTCCATCTTACTCACGGGAATCCTTATATGCGGCCTACTTCCATCCCATTAACCCGCCAATTTCTGATGAAAATGATGTCAAGAAGGAACCATGCGGTGTTCCAGTCATGAAGATTCCTCCTGGAAGAAAGAAAAAATCTAGATGGCAAACTTGGCTAGAAATGTCTAGAAAGAAAGACACAAGACCAAGAAAGATGCATAAGCAATACAGTTGCTCCAAGTGCAAGCAACCTGGTCATACTCGCCCCTATTGTGAAAGTTAATCTTTACATTGTACTTAGTGTGTATTGTTTTATCTCCTGCCAAGTCGTTATGTAGTCTAATTCTAATAAAATCACATGTAGAGATTCAATGATGGTGCTGATTGAATCTGAACAAGTCGAGAAGTCTACTTGACACAAGAGAAATTTACTAGGTTGTCAAGATATGTAATATAAATGGGGGGAAATATCCCTCTGAATCATCATTAAGTTGTGTATAATTATTGTCTTTAAGAAGTCTACTCGAGTCTAGAGAAGTCTACTTGATAAGAAGTCTACTCGTGACACGAGAAGTCTACTCGTTTGATAAGTTATGTAATATAAATGGGGAAAATGTCCCTCTGAATCATCATTAAGTTATGTATAATTATTGTCTTTAAGAAGTCTACTCGTGACAAGAGAAGTCTACTCGTGACGAGAGAAGTCTACTTAACCGACAAGAGAAGTCTACTCGAGACATGAGAAGTCTACTCGAAAGACAAGAGAAGTCTACTCGAGACAAGAGAAGTCTATTCCATAAATTCAGCAACCCAAGAATTCAACACAATCCATGTTATATGTTAACCTACAGTTACATATTCTGTTCTTTGATGGGTTACACCAAAAAAATTCCTAACCACATCAACCAGATACACCAAAAAATTAGTTTGTTACAAAAAATAATACACGAGAGAAGAGAAGTCAGGTGCCTTCGTATAACCCCATATTCGTTACAAAAAATAATACACGAGAGAAGAGAAGTCAGGTGCCTTCGTATAACCCCATATTCGCCCAATCCTGGTTTGGAGGTCTGTGGTACTTGGTCTCCTGGTGTATATCAACCGCAAGTTTCTGTCTGATAACTTTCATGTTGGCGGGACACAGTGACGAAGGGAATGGCAGTCCAAGAGCATGATATTCAATAAATTTAAGGCAATAAACTCCACAATCACCACCTGGCCCTTGCTGTGGCACCTCCTTTGCTTCTA